CTTAAGATATTCTATTATCTTATTCATTGTATTTTCGTTATCTTTTATCTCCTTCCATTCAATTTTAGGTCTATTTCGTATTTTTCCAATGCTATATACATGGACACTTCCCCGATGCTGCCATTCAAACCGATACCACCAATCCTCTAAATCCCATTTCGGTTTCAGCACATCTTTAAAAATGTTTTGAATCTTTTATTAAAAAACCAGGCTACAATATGCGGATTGTTAACAAGATTTTTATGACGAATATTTGCAGATTCCATTTCTCCTTCTCTGACTGGTAGCATTAGATCATGTAATTCAGTCCAATGCAAATTAGCAGAACTGAATGTAAAGAATATCATTCCTTCTGAACCCACTTGTTTGATCATATCTGTGAGTTCATAACATCATGCCTTCCAAAATTGTCGTGACCTACAAATGTTTTCTCTATATTTCATTATCCGATCGGCCATGAGTGTATCTCCTTTTGCGATCTTTTCTTGAATATCACTAATTCTAAGTTTAGGATCGTTTAACTTTTGTTTTACATAGACTTTTCCTTCTAGCAATGCTCTCCACCTCATTTGTGAATTTAATGCAAAATATCTCCAACGCGTATGATGTCTGAATCTTCCGTCTTGATATCTAAACATATGCTTGAAGTACTCTGCAGGCTTAACTTCTTTAATCTGTTCCGCACAAAGATCCGCATGACCAGTTGGGTAAAGAATCAGAAATGCTATTACAATATATCCGACCGTTTAAAACTCATTTATAGGTTTACCATCTATCTGTGGCCACAATATAGGTGGATTTTCAGTTTGAATCTAATTGAATGCATTATTGATAGCTACATTTTCGCGAGTAGATAGAGAAATAAAAGGAACAAAAGTTCATGTAATACTTTCTTTTTCATTATCGTTATCATTTGAATCCTCATTTCTTTGATTTTGAATATATCGAAGCTGGTCTACTATAGAATGATTTTCAGGTAAGGTTTCAAGAACTTCATTATCAATAACTATATGGGTTGATTGCTAGGAAAATCAGGTTCTGGAAATTTTTTAGCAAAATTGAGATTTTTATTGCATTTTAGTTTTTGATGTTATTAGATCAAAATGTATTAAGCTCTTAATTTTAGTCAAAAATTTCTCAGAACCTGATTTTCCTAGAAACACTCCCATATTACTATAATATCGATTATTAGCTTTTAACTAATATAATGCCTGAGCAACTTTAGCCTAACGAACGGTAAAATCCCGAAATCTCTCTAAATTATTTGAAGATTATCGTCGCAAAATAAGTACTTCCAATGATGATGGAACCTGAGAAAGTCATGTGGTGAATTCTTGTATGTCCTGAGAAAAGTTTATAACATTTCCTCAATATCCATTTTGTCTACCACAAAGCCTGTAGACAGATATTACTATGAAAACTTTTGAAATCAACATCTCTTCAATTTCTGTAAGCCCTTGAAGCTCTTCAGGAACCTCTTCTGGATCTATATTGTTATCTGCAGAAAATTTTTTTTGTAAGACCTTTTCCATATGACAGCGACGACATTAACCTTTGATGAGTACAATAGATGAATAACGTTCTTTACAAGTAGAACAAAAAACATGTTGAAGTTTGTCCATTTTATTTCGAGATTTCTCTAAGTTTGTTCAATCAGTTTCACTCAATTCAGTAGTCAAAAATTCTTCTGATCTTTACTTAAATTCAGTTCTTTTTTGAATTTGATTATAATTTGCTTTTTTCAACATTTGTAGTTCTTTGCTTTTTTTACGTTGATATTCAAGATGCTGCTCGCGTTCACTTTCAGTTTCAGTTTCTAATTTTCTTCTCTTTCGTTCACAGTTTTGACTAAGATGCATTTCCCGTTTCTCAATAGTTTTCATCATTCGTTCTTTATGTTTTTGATTATGTTTTTTAATCAGACTTGTTTCATACTGATCATTCATATTGTACAATTAATAAAAAACACGTTAAAAGTTTTTCTTA